ATAATTATATCATTACAAATTCAACCAAAAGTAACACTCTCATCCATTCCCTTCTCATGAGTTTTCATTACTCTCAGCTAAATTTAAGGTTTTGAATATAAATCTCTAATATAAATTCTCAAATTTTACACTATTTTAGACCCCACGTCTATAGGAAAGCTTTTGTTTTTTTGGGTTTTTAATTTCTTTGAATTTTGAATTGCATTTTCCCATCAATTATAGTGGGCCGTTTTGTTTAAAAATAATACAAGGACAGCTGGTTTGAGTGGGGTGTGTTTTTGAATGCTGATGGTACGATAAAAGGTTTTAAAAATACAAATTTTGTCTTTTTTAATTAAAGGCTATGATTTTTTTTTAATTTTTAAATTATATAATTATTTTTTAATTTTTCTAATTAAATAAAAATACAAACTCTACAAATTTTTTATTTAAAATTCTATTAGATGCGAGAGTGATATGATAAGAGGTAATTTTAAACAAAATGTTTTTTAATAAAGTTTTAAATATACAATTCATAAAATTTGTATTTTTATTTAAAAATGTGAAAGATTGCCCGCTTGATTTATAGAAAAAAAGATCTTCTTTATTTTTTTATATGTGGTATTATTTTTTTTTCTAAAAATAATATAGTAATAATGTCATATTCCCTCAATTTGATTTAGTTATGATAGTTTTATATTTGTATAAGGTTTGACAATATAATTTTATATATTATTATATGTTTGATTTTTTTTATTTAGGACATGAATAATATATATATTCATTTATTTAATATCATATTATTATTGTAACCTACAATTTTAATCATACTATCTCTAGCCATTTTTTAACTATCATAATTCCTTAATTTTATGCAAATTAATTTAATGATTTTAAATAGAAGACAAATAACAATTAAAAATTTATTTGATTTAAGTGAAAATAATAATAAAAAATTACATATAAAAAGATAAATTTTTTCAGTTGTCATCTATTTATAATTATTTTTAAATTAACTTTATAAGCATATGTGAATTGTCATGAGTAAAATTTTACCTTTAAAAATAGATAATTTATCAAAACTATTTGTACAAAATAATGCTAAAAAAATTCAAGCATATATTTCCATTATCATTCGCATCATTGCTTTAAATCATTACTTCTTAACCACTTAATCAAAATGGAAATTCCATCTTCTCTGTTTTCTTGTTTTTAATGTGAAAATGGCATATTTTTAAGAGATTTTTAAGAGATGAAAAATTTTCACCAAGTTAATTATGTAGCCTTTACTCTTTTGCCTTTTGTGTTTTGTCGTGCCTAAGTCACTAGCATGGGTGTCAATTTCGTATCCATTTATTGATCTTGATGGAGAAAAGAAAAAGGCGATTCTTATTTTTATTTTAAGGAAGGAAAAGCATATGAATGATGGGTGTGGGGCAGACACCAAGGCTCCAAAGAAGTAAGAAATCGAATGGTGGGACTAGATTGAACGAGGTTAGGGAACATTACATGATTGCCTATATATACATATTCACAAGCGTATATATAACGATTTAAATTCATAATTTTAATTTTAAATTAAAAATTTTTAATTAATAAGTATTAATTCCACTAAAATTTATGATTAATAGGGACTACACACTACTCATTTATCTCTTGTTTATGATTAATGAGGACTACACACACTACACATTTATCTCTTTTATATATATGTTGGGATGTATATGTGTTTCTTAATTTGAATATTTGATGATAGCAGTATATATTCAAATAAAAACTTTGAAGGTTGAAGAGGAAAAAGGTTTCATATGAACGGCGCTTATACATGAGTTAGTGAAATGAACTATCCATTAGTTCTCTTAACATTGGTCTCATCGGTTTATCCCGGGTTTATACACAACCACCCTGTATTTTGTTCATTTGAAAAAGAAAATTAACTACCAGCCTACCTTCTTTTTTTTTACAAAAAAAAAGGGGAAAAATCCTTACTTGGTTCGACTACCATATAAATTTATTTTATTTATTTTTATTTTCGCAGTCACCTTGTTTGAAATTAAGAACATGTTTTGTTTAACGAAATGGAAGAGAGATTTGAGACAATTTTGAAGCAACTTGTTAAAAAAAAAAAATTGGAAGAAAGGGGAAGAAAAGAGTTTTCTTTTTTTTTATTATAATTATTTTTTTTAATTCCCTCCATTTCAAAATGAAAAAAGGGAGCTTTTCCCTTCTCCTTCAACGATTTTCATCAAACCAAAAGTATTTTGAATATCACATATCAAATTTTAACTAGTTGTGTATAACATTGGAATAAGATCGAAAAACATTATCTCTAAATTGCAAAACTCATCTTTAGGATTTGAGTGAATGAGATTTTATTTTATTATTTATTTTTTTAGCCAGCCAAGTAGGATTTATTGATAAATTGTATATAAAAGAAATAAATGTTGGAAAAATGAAATTGAAATAATATAAAAGTATTGATTTTTTTTATTATGATTAGGGTGTTTTCCATTTAGTTTTTATGTACTTTAAAATTAATATCTTTTTAAGCAATTTTAAGAACCCTCACATTAGCATTACACATTTAAGAAAATTAATTTTTCTTTAGATACTAGTTTCAAAACTTTAATTCTAAAACTAACATATAAGACAATACTTAATTATTAGTTAATCTAATGTTGGAGTTATAATATAAAAATATTGAAGGTATCGCTTATTGTTTGATTTTAAACAATTCTTAGAGAAAATTTTAGATTATTATTAAATGGAAAATCCCATATTGATTAAGGAATTTTTTAATTCCTCGTAACATTATAATAAGATAGCATATCCCTTCTTCACATCACATATGATTGATGGTTTTATAGATGTTAAAGAATGTTAGGATTCTTTAAATGATATTAGAGCATGTTAGGATTTTTTTTTTTTTTATCATGAAAAAATGTCTAAAATTAAATCATTTGATAAATTTGGATTTGATTAAATTAAAGAAGGTTTAGTTTTTTTAAAGAAATGTAGGCCCAAATGAAAACATTAGATTTAAAAATGACCCATATGGATATGAAGCCTGTGAATTGTAGCTGAAGGAGGAGCAATTCGTGCAATGGATGCAAGATACAATAGGCCCAATATAATGCATCAATAGAATATAGAATCATTTACGTATGAACATTCAACATATGTAAATATGCTAACAATTCCCAAAAAAACAAAAAAAGAAGTTTATTTTTTAAAAATTGATAAAGAATTCAAAATTAACTTTAAAAATTATAATTGGAAACAACTAAAAAAAAAAACAAATAGTCTATTTTAATAATTTCGGGGTAAGTCAAAACAAGCAGAAATGAAAAAGTTAATTAAAAAAAAATCAAAGTAGGATTGAATGTTTATCCCTCTTTGACAAATTTTCTATTACAAGCAAGTAATGACTTTTGGGGCATTCCTCTCAACAAAAATACATTAGAGTAAAATTTCCATTTTTGAGAAATATATGAGACTAAAAATGGAAGGTATAATATCAAAAAAAATTGTCAATTTTTTGACTTGATTTAAAATCAACAACTTCAGAAATGGAATGGTCAAATAATCCCTAGAATTGAAAATAAAGGGAACACAAAACATTGATTTGCGACTAAAGCAAAAAAATTTAAAGAACCTAATGAATTAGGATTTTTCTACTTATGTCCTGATTATGGCAATAAATACCCCCAAACATAAATCCTAAAAACAGCAGCAGAACTTCCTGTTATCTGTATGCAAATTGAGTTCAGGTTCATTTCTCTTCCTTCTCCTCTAGTGCACCGTTTGATCTTCTGTTAAACTTGAATCGTCTTTCTCATGTTTTTGCTTTTCCAAGGTTTCAAAAGCTTAGAGTTTTGTCATAGTGGAGACCATGTGGAAGAACATGCTTTCTTATGGGATCTCTAATTTAGCCCTCTTTCCTCTCTCTGCCACCAAGAAAATCCCACTGCATCAACTAAAAATGGAGCCAGGAATTGGAATTGGAAACAGAGCCATCTGGAATTTTGAGTTCCAGTTCCCATCTTCTAAAAACCCTTCATATTTTCTCTGCTTTTCATGTTCTTCAATTGGAAAATTTTTCGTAACTTCTGATTCCAATTCCCAGGAAACCACTCCCCTGCCCTTTATATCTTCATGATCCAAAACCACTTTCACATCTAAATTTGATTAGAAAAAATCATGTTTAGTATAAACATGGAACTTTTCCTGTTAGTAATTATGGAATTACAAGCTAGACTCCAGATATGGCCAAAATTTCATGTTAGACTAGCATATGGGGAACAGTAGCCCCCATGGAAACCGGCCAAACTATTCTTGGCATGCAAAAAACTAACCAACAAGTTTTTCTCGTTGATTGCATGGCGGCAGACAGGCGCAAAACATACGTACCTTTCTTACTACGTTATGCTAATATCAACCAAAGTTACATGGACCACTTCCCCTGGATCATTTCTTGGGTAATGAAACATGTACACAACGGAATTAAATTGATGAGTTTTCTGTTGGAAATGGTATTGAGATTCCCATAAAATCAATCCCAACCAGACAAATCATGCAGGTGACTCGAATGTTCATGGCATAATCTAGTATTTTATTCAAATATCATTCTTATAACTCAGGGTGGATGTTGGAAACCATGGTCCTCCAAGATTGACCTGGGTTTGCAATATATATGATTATATATATAGCTACCTAGCTATATAGGTGCTAAGTCCTACATTTGACATGGTCTTTAATCTCTCTTTAAAATCTGCTTTGTGTTTTTCTTCTTAATTTTCCCCTTTCTGCAAGTTACGGATTTTGAAGGACATAGAATTCCTACTAATCTAGCAGAAAAGGATTAATGGCTTTTGCAAGGTCAACGTCGATGTTGATGATGTTACTCCTTTTCACTGCATGGTTCTTCTCTGCACAAGCCAGCCGTCAGCTTTCAGGTATATTGATTCTTCTTCGTCTTGCTTATGTCTTTCACCTAAATTGCTATATGTGTGTGTGTGTGTGTGTGATAATATTGTTTTTGTAATGCTCTGTTTGCGATAATTTCAGGTGGAATTGCAGGGGCAAAGAAAGACATTGTTGAAACCGAAGTTGCTACTGCTCCTACTAATGGCTTAGATGGAGGAAAGAAGGCGGAGGAGGACGACAGCAAACTTGTGAAGCTGGAGAAAGTAAAAGTTAAGGGTGCTGAGAAAAAGCAGAGTGTTAGCCATTTCTCAGATGAAGCTGATGAGACAGGATTTGTGGCTTTCAATGTCGATTATCATGGTCCTACGCATCACCCTCCTAAGAATAATTAACCAATAAATTACAGTTAGTATGAGTAGTATATATATTAGAAAGAATCAAATAAATAATGTTGGAGAATAGTAGTGAATTAGGGTGTAATCCAACTATGAATGCTAAGTGATGTTATGGTTTAATTCTGGTTTACATGATTACACTAATCTCCTTTAATCCATCTTATGTTACATTTCCTTTTTCTTTTTTTCTTTTTTTCTTTTTTTTGAATCCGGTGTGTTTGTTATGTTTTGGCTGTCTAATTGTTGTTTGTCAATTGAATTTCACTAAAATCATGGTTTTTCTTTTATTTGAATTTTTATGGTGAAAATTAGCCACGGTTTTTAATTCCAAGTAAGTAAAGTCTCTAGGTAGGAAGAGCAATGCTAGGGGCAGTTGCCCCCTGCATTCGCCAACCAATGCCTGCGCAGCAATTTGGCTACGTTTGCCTTGCTTTTAACTGTGTGACCTGTAGCAACTGTTGTTTACCGGTTTAAATAAAAGTGTGAGAAAGAAATTTAAGGAAAATTCTTAATCTTTTTATTTTAAAATAATTTTGAATTTTTTAATTTATTTTTAAATTAAAAACTTTAAAATTATTCGTGTATATAATACTTTAAACCAAAAAAAAAATAAAAAGAAAATTTTATAATTAAATAAATAATTAAAATAAATAAATAAATAAAAATACTCCTATTAATTTACTAGTCTATAGAAATGAAAAATATAACAAATTTAAGACGAATTTAAAATTAAAAAATGACAAATATTTTGAACAAATGGAGGCTCTTGCTTTGAGTCACAAAACGGTGGGTGAGCTTCTGAGTCACTGCGGATGGAACTGAAGCACCTCACCTCACCTCTGTTCTGGAAGCTGAAGGATATCACAAGATTGAGGCATAAGATAACAGTACAAGTAATTTCTGAATTTCCATTTTTATTTTAATTAATTATTTTGATGAGTCTTTCTACCTATGCACATGTTAAGAAAACACCCAACAGCGGTGGGTTTCGGCATGTAAGTGGTGTGGCAACGATGGGTTTCAGCGAGGAAGGGAGTCCATCAGCGATGAGGAAGAGAATGGGACACAGTGGGAGAGGAGGAGCGTGTAGTAATGTGTTCGATTAGAGAAGAAAACACCTAGCAGCGGTGGATTCTAGCATATATGGAAGTGGTTCAGCAGCCATGGGCTTCAGCGAGGAAGGGAGTCCAGCAACGATAAGAGAAGAGAATGGGATTCCATTTGTTGAGGATGGAGAATTGGTTTATAGAAGATGAAAAATCCCAATACAAAGGCAAAGACGTTGTGTTCCATCAAATATAAACATATATGTAAAATTTAATAAAAAATTATAATTTAATGTAAAACATATAATGTGCTTTATCTATTTTTCCATCAAATGAAAACATATAATGTAAAATTTAGGTTAAATGCTAATTTTAATCTCTCAACTTTATGGTTTTGCACTTTTTTAGTTTTTAACTTTTTTTGCACATTTTTTATCCCTCAACTCCAAATATTGCATAATTTTGATCTCTTCGTCAATTATCTATGACATGACAATTAAAAAATTCCACACAATTAAAAAATTCCATAGTGACATTTTTTTTTTATAACATGACAATGACACATCATATAATTTGATTACGTATATAAATAAAAATATCAAATCGGATGTCAAATTAGATTATCATTTATATTTTTAATAAAAAATATAAAGTTACCTTAATACCCCTATCTCCCTCTCTTGATCCATCTTCTTCCCCTCTTTCGATCCATCTTCTTCCCTTCTATCTTCCTCTATGTAAAGCTAATAGATCTGGATTCTGTCAAACCCAACAAATCTGGATTCTGTCAACCCCAACTAGAGTTCGATGGAACCCATCTGCTTGGTTCCTTGAACCCAGTAGAATTGGGTTCCGTTGAACCCAACTGTTAGGTTTAATGGAACCTAATAACCAATCAACGGAACCCAGCAAATGTAACTTCTTCTTTGGCTTTCCATCCTTAGTTTTTAATCTGCTTGTTGTACTTGTTCTTTATAGGTTTTTTCAAAATTTGGAGTCGATTTATTGGAATTTGATTAGGGTTTGATTGAGATTATTTATCACCAAGTTAATGAGAAGTTAGTTTGATTTGATGAGATTTGTTAGCTTTGATGAAACCTATCAAGTGGATTTTGTTAAAATCAGCAGTTAGATTCAACAAAACCTAAATTATGTTGGGTTCAACTGCAACTGGAGTAAATAGGAAGAAAGATGGATCAAGAGAGAGAGACTTGGTACTAAGATAATTGTATTGTTTTTTATTTCATTTTATTAAAAATATGAATATTAATGTGATTTAGTGTTTTTTTAATCCACATAACAAATTTATAATATATTATATTGTCATGTCATAAAAAAAAAATTAAAAAAATGTTATTTTGGAATTATTTAATGGTTATGTCAAAAAAAACTGACGAATGAATCAAAATTGTGCACTTCTTAGAGTTAAATGGCAAAAAAAGTGCAAAAAAAAAATTGAGGGATTAAAAAAAGTGTAAAATTTAAAGTTAAGAGACTAAAATAAACATTTAACTTAAAATTTAATAAGAGTTTAATAATCGAGATTACTATGATAATTAAATTAAAAAAAGATAGATATAGTGTAAAAAGGGCCATTTAAATCTAGTTTATAATTTTAATTAAAGGGTAATTTATTTGCACTTAGGCTTTCGGGTCAAGTGGCATCAGGTCACGTATAAGTGCATTCTCCCACCCCAGAATAATGGCTTGAATTCGGCTCCTTGCGAATTTTTTTTTTAAAAAAAGGAAATTTATTCTGTTTATAGTGTTAACACAAAGTGATTTTTGAATTAGTTTTGATTAAGTTTTGATTTAATTTAGAATTTTAAAGAATAATTTATCCAATTTATAATGTAAATATATAGTATGAATACAAAGTGATTTTTTAGTTTTACTTTAATATATCTTTAAATACTATTTTTTATCAATAATTTGTATAAAAAATTTTATTTTTAACATTAATAGTAATACTACATTAAATAATTTAATTAGATAATTGATAAAATTTAAATCAAAATTCTTTTTCGTACAAATAATAAATATAATAATTATGCCCTTAATCTGTACTCAATTAACATCTTAGAAATTTTTTTTATTTATCAAATGATTTTTATTAAAAGTGACGTACCTTTCAAATGCTTTTATGTAATTTAATTTAATTTAATTTATCCCTTTTTTTTCTTTTTTTTTTTTAAGATGATTTAATATAGGTGATGTCCCTCCTCCGATCCAATACGAAGACGTTGGGCTTCTAAACATACTGTATGAGTTGGGTCCATGAAGAGGTACTACAATTTGATTTCCAATCTAGTTTTTGGTTTTGGGTTTTTGTTATTATGGACCATGGCCCAGAATTCTTTCTTCTTCTTATTCTTTTTTCCTTTTTCTTATTATTATTTTTTTAAAACTTTTTCTTCATCTGACATCTTCATTTTTTGGGCGTATTTTATGGAAATGTTTATAATAATTTAATATGAATTTCGATAATATATGGTCAAAATTAGTTAAAAACAAAAAAAAGGGTTAAATTTACATGAAAACTTTGTAAATATTAAGAAATGGTGTGTGTAGGAGGGATTGAAGTAGAATGTAACTAAGAACTGGTGTAAATTTTTAACCATGAATGAAGGTGCATACTTCTTAATATTAGCAGCATATCAATAATTAAAAATAATACTTAATGATGCAATATATTCTGTATTACAATATTCTTAATTTCTAAATCAAACAAGACAAAATAAACTTATTGACATAATAAGTTAAGATATAATAGCAATCCATTCTCCAAAGATAAGGACTCATGCATGCTACACCACTCAATGGTCAAGATTCCCTCAATCTTTCCATTCGAACAACATCCACCATCTGATCAGATAAACACTCAAACATAGTGCAAAAAACCAAAGTTTGAAATTTCTAACCATGGTTAATTTTATTGGCTTTCTCTTGTTTCTGAGTTCCTGGAGAGAACCGAAGGTTGGTTAGGTTCGAAAACCAGAATTCTTTGGTTTTATTCATTTAGGGCATTTAAAATTTTTATTATCATTCTCGTTTTTTTTTTGTACTAAAAATATTAATTATTATGTCATAAAACGTGGATTTAATGGGATTGTGGCTATGTGTGGTTGAAAAAAAAAACTTAAAAGAAAGAAAGAAAGAGAAGTTGAATGTTTTGTGGCCTTTGTTACTTGAGTTAATATTTTATATTTTTAAGATAATAAAAAATTAAAAAAATCGACATTGATAATACAATATAATATTGATAAATGAAGTTTAAAACTCTGTCCTGTAATCTTTAATACACACAATTTTAGTTTCCTCCAATAAATTAACTTTAAAGTAAATAATAATAATAAGGCACATAAATATTTTTGCCAATTTAAACACATAACTTTAGATCATTCATGAACAATAATAAAGAGTTGTATGAAAAATTATGTTATGGGACCAAGATTAGAGATCTTTAAAGAAATTTGCAATGCAAATGTGATGAATTTTTTTGTTTCACTTTCCTCATCTTTCCTTTCATTACTTTCTCATGCAATTGCACACTAAATAATGGTGATTAACTTTCTACTTTCTTATGTAGATAATAGAGATTAAATCTTCTCATGCATTTATATTATGATCAATTGCTATTTGGTGAATACATGATTTATTTTTCTAACTCATATCATTCTTCTAGGTTATATATAAGACTTGTTCCTTGTATGGAAATGATATGGAAGAAACAAAAAGAATAAAGCTTCTTCATAATCACTTTTTGCTTCTCTTTATCTTTATATTTCATACTTCTTTTTTAACTCGTTTTTCTTTATTTTACAATATATGTTGTAGTTTTTTCATTGTTCAGAAATCATGCATGCCTAATGCCAAGTGAAGAGTATTTTTGCATTCTTTTTGAAAATAAGTAACCATTTTATTTTATTTTTAAAAAATAGAAATACAAAAACTCGAATTATGAACACTTGTCACAGCTAAAAACATGAAAAGGTCACCACATGGTAGAATTTTTTTTTTCATATATATTGTAACCATGTGAAGCAAATCCTATTGAAATCATGAAAAGTAAATCATTTATATTATAATTTGTTTAAAATTATCTTTTTCTTCTTCAAGAATCAAATTTTAATTAATGAGGTGATCTCTTATATCAATTAAAATGCAATCCATTGCGTGAGTTCATTGCAAACTTTTCTCCACATGGGCTTTTATAATTTATGCCTTCGAAACCCACCAAAAATCATATCTTCACCAAATGTATCCATCAATTAGTGAGTAAAAAAGGCTTAAAAAGCAAAAAATCTTCCTTCCCCAGCACCACCACCTTTTGCTTTCCTCTTCCCTACTTCCTC